AACAATGACCAGTTTGCTGCTCTGTGTAAAGCCTTGGATCTCACAAACTTATTGGATGACAATCGGTATGCCACAAATGCACTTAGAGTCAAGAATCGAGATGATCTTCTTGTTACACTGAAAGAGAGGTTTCAGCAGAAGACAACCAAAGAGTGGTTGATCATCCTGGAGGGGTCTCCCTTCCCGTATGGCCCAATAAACACTATTGCCCAAGCTTTTTCTGACCCCCAAGTTATCCACAATGAGATGGTAAAAACAGTTCACCATCCAACTGTAGGTCTGATAAAACAAGTTGCTCCTCCTGTGTTATACAGCTCGTCACACAATAAGATCAGATCAGCTCCACCAATCTTGGGTGAGCATACAAAATATGTCTTATCAGAGATAATAGGGTATTCAGACTGTAAGATTAAACAGCTGATAGAACAAGGGGCTGTAGCTGTTTCTAAAGATCTTGAAAATAGTTGATCATTATTTTGTTATAACTGATTTCATTGTTCATTCTGTGATTAAGTGTGGGTAAGTCTATGTAAGTATGAGCTTATGTTTCAGTGTATTGCTACCACTATGTGCCTTTAATCAATACATACTCTAATAATATTGTTATTATTATTATAAAATTGCCAGTCATATGAGATGACAATTTTTATTATATATATATATATATATATATATATATATATATATATATATATATATATATATATATATATATATATATATATATATATATATATAATTATATATATATATATATATATATATATATATATATATATATATATATATATATATATATATATATATATATATATATAGATATATATATATATATATATATACATGTACTTATGTAATATATTTTGAATAGGTATATGTATTTTGATGATTATATGTAGATATTTATATTTATATAAATTGTAAATTTAACTACCTCAGATAATTTCACCTATAGAAAAAAATGGTGCTAGTGCACCGGTAGTGAATGTTAATGGTAGTAAAATGCTGTCTCATTTAGCATGGATTTTTTCTTTGTTTGTAATTTTTTATGCCTGTAAAGAGGATCAGTTGGTTGTGAATATGTATAATTGACAATTTTGTTTATGGTTTTAGAAACTAATGGATTGTAGTGTTTTGTATAATTTTTTACAGTTATCACAAACCTACCTTTTGTTATGTTAGATAATGAAGTAAGTAATTTATGGTGATTTTGTTAACCTGTATGTCAGTTTATTGCATGTTAATTACAGTAATAGATGGTGCTAACAATGGTATCAGAAAAGAACAAACATAAGTGATAGTTAAAACCATTTTAGAACATCAAACTGTTACACATATGTATCCCCATTTTTAAAGGGTGTTTATAAAACTTCTCCAGAATGCTCTAATTCAGTACAAATCATTTCACATTAAGTATAAGGCAAAGGGACTGTAGAATACCAGGGAGGAGGAAGTGAAATATTCACATTTTCTGAATCTGTTTAATTCATTTGACAATTGTTTGATGTTTTACTTCTTATTATATGACACAAGTAAACTCATTGACATTAATATATAACCTATAATACTTAGGAACAATTTAGACAAATCCACAGTCCACCAACTGATGTTTCGTACCAAAACTTGACATTTCTTGATTCTTCTTGTATCTTGCAATGGAGCATTTTTCCGTTGTTTTGCCTTATAGATTATGAAAGAGGGAATTGGTTTTCCCTTTCCTCTAACTTTCTCTGTCAGGTTTATTTTAACTATAAAACCAGAATCCAATATAAAGAATTAGTTGTATTAAATAACAGATAGATAATTAAACACAGCTTTGAGTGTGGTTTCCCAGAGGCAACTATGATTAAATATCTGAAAGGTATAAAGGATATGACAATGGGACCACTACATATAATATCCATATATTTTGATACATTACATGTGGCTGGAGTGGTTACTGCAGTTAATTTACATATGTGTACATCTCTCTTTCAATTTTTTTTTTTTTTATGTGTGTGTGTGTGTGTGTGTGTGTGTGTGTGTGTGTGTGTGTGTGTGTGTGTGTGTGTGTGTGTGTGTGTGTGTGTGTGTGTGTGTGTATGTGTGTACACCTTTGTGTTTGTGCTTGAGACAGGGAAAGTATATACATTGAATGATATGATTTACATACATATGCCCACATTAAAGGAAAAGTAATTCATAATAAAAAAAAAGAATATCTGTTAGATGCCACAATACTCGGAGAGAAGGTAAAAGATCTGTGTTAATGGCACTGTAAAGCAATATCAGTAAATACAGAAGTTGACTTGACTAGAAATATGAATGTCTCATCTTTCCTCGAAATATACATCTACAATTTATTACAAAACTTACATTCTTACCTTATAATGATATAAATTTTTCAATTAGTTGTATAAGATACATATATACATACATATATATCTATATTTATATCTATATCTATATGTATATTGGGTGTAGGCATTATTACTCTGGTAACTGATGCGGACTATTTCCTGGCGCAAAATATCCGTAGTTTTACTTACTGCTCAAAAATAGGGACAACTTAAATCATTTATTTGGTATTATAAATAGCATTAAAGTCCACAACACAGAATACACTGACATTTAATTCTGGAAAAATTTTTTGCATGTAAGTGCCCATATGGGATTATACCGGACTAATTAATCTGTATCAACTTTAGATCATTGGGAATGTATTTTATTTATCTTCAGCATTTTTTGCTTGTTTTTTTTATCAAAAGGTATATTGTTTTTATGTGTAACAGAATATATCAAATAAATCTTAAGGGAAATTTAGTGTTCAATACGGTGATTCTACTGATGATATACGCATTCAGACAGCTCTTAAGTTTATCAATAATCGGAAGTCTTCCAGCTTCAATGATTTTTCAATCACATGATAGTAGTAGGAAGGTTTTATTTTGGTGAGCTATTTGTCAAGCCTTTTCATAACAATTTGTGATGGACAGTGGTGCGGCCCGTAAGTTGGGAAAAACGGTGTATATGAAATGTACAAACATACATACATACATGCATATATTTGTGTGTGTGTGTATATGTGTGTGTGTATATGTGTGTGTGTGTGTGTGTGTGTGTGTGTGTGTGTGTGTGTGTGTGTGTGTGTGTGTGTGTGTGTGTGTGTGTGTGTGTGTGTGTGCGTGCGTGCGTCTGTGTGCATCTGTGTCTGTGATCTTAAAACATTACGCCCCATTTGACATTCTCAGACAATTAGAGACACTGTTTTACAAGTAGGAAAAAAGAAAGAAAGAAAGCCATATTAGAGAAAAACAAACCATGATCAAAGGTTAGTACATTTAACAACTGGGCTATATGATAAATTTCTCCATATACACAGAAAGAGAATAAAAAATAAAAAAAATCCACCGCGTTAACCAAGATTACCTCCATACAACAGCCCCCCACTAAGTTACGTTCAGCTGTTCCATTGTTCAGTTGTTCTGATGTTAAAAGTAAATAACATCCTTTCGACTAGGGGGCGGGCCGTAGTCTCGAGGGGCGTGGCTTTCAAAACCTCTCATGGGGGAGGGTCCTGCCTTCAGATTCACCCGTGGCAGTATGGCTGAAACGAAAAGAAAGGAAATTAAAACGACTGTTTCTACCTTGTCTGTCTTTATTTACCGAGATACAAATTGCTGGTTTACTGGTGTTGTATACAGTGGGATGTCAGTTATACTAAGTAAAACGATTTTTACTAGCAAAGAGTGATGCAAGTGGATATTGAACTGCTTTCTATTGTGATGTTTAAGGTAATCATTAGGGTCTTTGTTATAAAACGTGATGAATATAAAAAGTATAAAAGATATAAAAATTATAAAAAAGCATGTCAATATACATAATTTTAAACTCATACTTATAAAAAATATTTAGCTCAACAAATACATGCATAGAGAGATTTCTGTGATAAATAATATATATGAACATATATATATGAATATAGCTATATATATGTACACATATATATAAGAATGTGTAATGTATATGTATGCGTTTGCGTGTGTGTGTGTGCGTGCTATCACTTTTTCAAATTATTAAGACAGTATCAAAGCATATTGTGGATATAAAAAGTTATAAAAGATATAAAAAATCAAAACCTCCTCCGTACAATAAATATTCCCAAAAATACACAAAAATTAAATACCTGTAATAACAATCACCGATCTTAATTATGTCAGTTGTTGCAAACACAAGCTGCTCTTTTTACATGTTATTGCGACGGTCGCTTTAGTTTGCAGAGTGACTCACGCCGACTTTGCCTACGGTTTGTTGAGTAAAAAAAAGTATATTATGCGCAAGTTTGTTGAGTGAAATTCCCCTCATTTGTGAAAGAGCTATTTCTTAGAAAATCAGGTGGTTAAGGACCCTGACCCCTCCTAGCATTCATGCCACTCAGCAACGCATGGTCAGGAATGGGATGTAAGAATTCATGAGAAGTCTTAACAAAACTAGTTGACCTTTTTGGTGCCAATGTTGTAGGCAGATGGATTCATTATTACTGAATGGTACTGGTTTCGTGCCTGGCCTTGAGCATTCCAGGCCTCCGTTTTCTAATACTAGTCATATAGGATATTTCTCATCAAGCCTTACTGTCCTGAGAACGGACGCCACGAGAGCACTGGAATCCATCACACGGGTGATAATGCATCATAATAGCACCTTCTTGACGGCATCTCATCCCCGGCACCTTGAACAAGATGGGGAAAGCAGGGTCAGCAGGGAGCGTATCTCCCGAGGCAATGGAAAGGGACGACGCCCGCGGCTCTGCGACCATGCTTTTCCCAGACCGCACCTGGAGGAAGGGCTCTGTGAACTCTCGTCTTTTCGTCCTCCCTTCGGTGCCGCCTGCAGTGCTTGGGAAAACTTTCGTGTTATCGTGTATTCTTGATGTGAATGAGACTGGGTAGCTTGCCTGCTTGCCTCTTTCATGTTGAATGTCCTCTCGAATACTGTTTTTCGCTTGAACGCTGTTCTGTTGGGGTGGCTTCTTGGCCGATGTGTTTCCTTGTCGTGCTTGGCTTTGCTTAAAGGGTAAATACTGAGGCTTTGAGTAATCGTCCTTTGTAAGGGCATTGGGAACTACATGCGGATGTCCGGTCTTGTGACCTCGTACACCTGAGGACTGCGGGTGTGTCCTATTGTTGGTAATGTTCTCACTTTCTCTTGCTACCTGACCTCTGTTTCTCTCTGCATAGTGTCTATTTGTGGCAACATCTAGCTTCTGGTCATCTGTTCGATTGGACCGCTCTTTCTTCATGACGTTCCACTGAAGCTCCCAGTCTCGAGCGTGGTCTGCAAGCTTCTCTTGCCTGGTCCTACGAAGTCTGTCAGACATCCTGGCTGTCATGTCCCGCCTAAACTCCGACACTTCCACACCCCCGTGCACTAGCTGCGCCCCTGCTTCATCCTTTGAAATATTTCCCGACAGATTTACCTGGGCTGGATTTTTTCCCGAGGGCTGTTTTTGCGTTTGGTCCGAATTAAATTTGTTGTGTTGTGATAGGTTGTTTTCTTTACGCAATGGTCCACTGGCAGAGTGGGGTGATGGGTCGTGTCTGTGTGAAGGGTTCTGTTGTGTAAAATGGGGTGTGGGCGGGTCAGTCGGGTAAAAAATAGTGTCTTCAGACTTTGTGTGATGGGGAGAATTGTAAATGGGAGGATTGGGTGCACTGACTGATTGATTAGGGGCATGCTGAGACTGAGGAAGAGGGGGGTTGAGGGAAGAAGGGTTGAAATGGTAAGGATCGCCATGATGCCGAGTCCCTGCGTGGGAAGGGAAGGACGTGAGAAAAGGCTGAGAAGCAGATCCGGACGGAGGCTCGAGGAGAAGCCTTGGGTCACCCTCTGGAAAGACCTTTGAGACCCCCAGATACTCACGCAGCTGCTGCACTTGGGTTGGGTGGCCCTGTCGGTCCCAAGGCTGAGCGTACTCACTTGGTGGTCGCGGGTCGTATGCAGGGCTGCTCCCGAGGCCGGGGCGGCCAGGGTCGCGGCTGGAGGCGTAGCGGCGAAGCGGGGGAGGCTCCTGCTGGACTGGCAAGCTTCTCAGCGAATCGTGGCGTTTGGGGAAGTTGTCCGAGGGCGGCGCATCGGGGTAATATGAGGGTGATCTCCGAGGACCTCCGTCGTCAGAAAGGTAACCGCGCTCGACCTGCGCCAACGCGCCTGCCTTCATGCCGTCCACGTCGTGCGGGTGCGTAGGCCGGAAGCCCGGGTTGAGGTACGAGAAGGGGCGAAGCTCCGTCGGCACTTTCGGCAGCTCTCTCGGCACGGGTGCTGGCCTGTATGATTACAGAAAGAAAGATGAAACTTTTCTTTAGACAAAACAGAAGAAAAAATAGAAAGAACTGTTTACACCGTGTCAAACGAAGCCGCATCAAAACCCACAAGGAACCTACTGGTTGGGATACACTGGCGGGTGATCCGGGTCGAAGACTGGGTTGACGTGGCCATCGCCGGCGACGTGTGGCGGCGCAGAGGCGTGGTACTGGGTCACTCCTTGGCCACGGGGGTAGTTCCCGAATGCCGAGTCGGCCACTGCTGCTGCACCACCTGCTCCTGCTACTGCTTTTCTTCCTGCTTGGGAGGCTTCCTGGTGAAACTGCTCAGCTCTTTGCTTCTTCTCTAGTTTCTGTGATGTCAAATCATTGATATGTTTCCTAACATGACATGAGTAATTAAGCAAAAAAATACTTCGAATATACACGTATACTTATGTAAGCATGCATGTATTCATGCAGGTATGTTTGTTTATATATATAGGTATCTATGGAGTTCTTGAAAGAAAACTATACCTTCTTCTGCCTCTCCTGCTTGGATCTCTTATGATGAGACTTGCAAAACGCGTTCATGACAGTCCCGAACTCCACGAGATTAATGAGCCAGATGGCGAATCCTCGAAAGTACAAGCTTACTGCCAGCAACATCGGCCCCACGTCGATGACCGCTTGAAAATCGATATCCAAGAGCTAACAGGAAAGAGAGGAGAAAATACAGTGTGAAAATTACAGATTTTGGAGTTGCAGTGTGTTTTATGATTAGTTTTGTGGTTGCAATTAATTCTGATATCACTTTACATATTCTGCAGTCTGTTAAGACTCGTAACATTGGCAGTAGCCTCAAACTCACCATTATATCATCAATGAAGAATGAGGAGACGGTGACATCCATAATGAGCAGAGAAAGGGTTATTAGAAGCCACGGCAAGTAAAAACCCCATCGTTTCCTGGCGTTACCTGGGAAGAAAGATAAACAATTCGCATGAGACGACGTAACAAGCAATCTATCCATAAGAAAACATCCGTCATATTAACACAAACAAATACCCAAAGTGCTTGCTAACGACACCACACTAGATCCCGATTAACCTCACCGTAGATCATGATGAAGCAGGAGAAAAACCACAGCACATGGAGAACCAGGTATGCGATCTGATACTTGTAGTTCTCCTCGGTTGTTGTTTGAGAGAGTCGTTCTGTG